CTATGAGTTTAGGCATATTGTAAATATTCGATAGTAAAATGTGAGCGTTCCATAAACTCTTACTCTACTCTTTTACGGTATAGAAATAGAGTCTTCAACTTGATTATCAAACGTTGCTCTCAGTTCCAAATACACCCAATTTATATTGTTAATTTCTTTTACCGATTTTGATGCTTTAGGAGAAAAAAATAAATTCAGATAATATGACGCAATGTGTAAGAGCCCATCTTAGCAACCACAATTTTAACGAGATACAGCGAGAGCACATCCTACGTGAAAATATAAGGAATAATATATTATTGGCATCATCCCTGTTCATTACATGCGTCAAATGAGGGCGCTCGTCAAAGCAGTTGAAATTTTCGCATTTACCGGGGTTTTCCAGCGATGTGGCTTCAAAACAAGGGCGGTGAGACCCAATTAAAGGTTGTTTTGAATGTTGTTAGTATCAAATTTCTCACCGTTCACCTTGGGTGTAATTAGGAACTAAACACGAACACGTGGTATTGTTATGTTAATTGTCATATTGTTGTTGTTATTCAGTGACCTTATTGCCGGCGTAAGTTTGAGCTAACCATGCCTCTTGTAATTCTTGTATTGTGATGTAAGAGTAGTATGCTTACTCACATGGTCCTTTTATACCCTATAACTGTGCGTATAAAGCTAGCACCAAACGTCCAGTCGATCCTGGACTTGCTTGCAGTGTGTTGCGATCCCAAATAGAAATTCCTGAAAAATTAATATAAATTGCGCAAACAAGGGGTGAAGTTCTATGACCGCGAAATCACAAGAATTGTTGGGGTTTGGCGGTCACAGGACTTTCGCGTTCACCCATCGTTTACGCAATTTATATTTATTTTCAAGAATTTGTCTTCGGAATCGCAACATACTGCAAGCAAGTTTAAGTGGACCTCCTAGAAGTGTTGAAAAGTTAAGAATTCTGCAAACATTGTACGCGGTAGCGAATAACTGTTAATTGTGTTACATTGTTCACGAAGCAGAACATGCGTAGTGACTCTGTAACATTATGGACTTCAAAATAAGTAGGTCGAATGAATTCAAATGGCCATTATCATTTAACGGAATATTCATATGAGGTTTATAGTACAAATACGTTGATTAACGTATGTATCGACGCGTTTGTTACGAGCGGACTTAGTATCTAATAAAGTATAATGCGAGAATATGTTAATTATGATGGCGTATGTATGATGTGTGAAGTCAAAGTGTAGAAATTGAACATAATAATATGATAAACAATGTATTTTATTTTAATACAGAAAGTTATATTTAATTACAAAACTCATCTTATATTCGATCAAGTATTCAAAAACATTTCCAATTCAACACATATACAAAGTCAAACGATGTAAAAACACTAAGACAAAGTATATCAGCTTTCAGATTAGGATAGGAATCAGTATCGAGCGCAAACAAATCACTCACATGTGGTATTTCACATATTGGTAAAGAGAGACTGACAAATCATATAATCACGAATGAAAAGAATGAAATCAGTTGTCATAGCAACAAACCACTATTTTATATATTTACATTGAGCCAGTCACGTATGTACGTACAAACATGTATGCAAAGATTGCATCGATTAAAACGTATATACAAAAAAAGTTGGCTCATCATTGTTTTTGTCTTTCTTACAATTATTGAATCCGAGACAGATATATTCCTTACAAATGCGTAGGTTATATTAACAACACAAACGATTTTGTTCTCATGATTTAATGTCAACTAAATAACAATACAAATGATCAATATGCAAATGGGGCTGCTAGATAATTTCATGATTAGTAATATTTACAAATAGAATTAAAGAATAGATTTAAAGATATATTACAAGTGAATAAAATTTAGTATTGCCTCTCAGTGGTACCATTGGAGGTATGAGAGTTGTCACAAATGTTCACGAATTCATGAAAATATATACTCACTGGGTGCACTAAAATGATTATGTGAAACACGTAAATTATGTAATTCCCGTGCCTGACGGGACCCACAATGGACGGCTTATGTAACATGAACACAATGCAAGCATCTGCTTCCCCGCTGACCGTAAACAGAAGTCCAATGTGCATGTGTGATGGTTTGAACCCCGTGCGACAACATGTCCGAAGGTGTATCGGATAAGTAACTTTCTCGATGACTGAGTTCACGTTTGGCAAAATACAACGTAGTCCCGTCTATGTAAAAATACTTTCATTGCCTTATACGTTGAACCACAATGACACAAGTGTTCCCAATATGCTAAGTAGGATGCTGACACAAACCATGTTACCGGCAGCTGAAAATAATTCGAGAAAATGATGAGAATTTTGATAGTAAATCACTTTTTCTGTATATCAAGCAGAATTCATTTATGATTCACACAATATATCACGCAAAATTCGTGTATTGTTTTACAGAATGCATCATACAAGATATCATTCACAATTCATGTGTGGATTTCAACATGATGGTACCACACATGGTATTACACACAATATAACGCAAAATTCGTGTATTGTTTTACAGAAGGCATCATACAAGATATCATTCACAATTCATGTGTGGATTTACACATGATGGTACTACACATGGTATCACACACAATATCACGCAAAATTCGTTTGTTGATTTACACAAGGCATCATACAAGATATCATTCACAATTCATGTGTGAGTTTACACATGATGGTGTCACACATGGTATCACACAAGATATCACGTAAAATTCGTGTATGCATTTACACAAGGCATCATAGATATCATTCACAATTCATGTGTGGATTTACACATGATGGTATCACACATGGTATCACACAAGATATCACGTAAAATTCGTGTATGAATTTACACAAGGCACCATACAAGATATCATTCACAAGTCTTGTGTCGATTTACATATGATGGTGTCACGCATGGTATCACACAAGGTATCACGTAAAATTCCTGTATGAATTTACACAAGGCATCATACAAGATATCATTCACAATTCATGTGTGCATTTACACATGGTGGTATCACACATGGTATCACACAAGATATCACGTAAAATTCGTGTATGGATTTACACAAGGCATTATACAAGATATCATTCACAATTCATGTGTGGATTTACACATGGTGGTATCACACATGGTATCACACAAGCTATCACGTAAAATTCGTGTATGGATATAAATATGGCACCATACAAGATACTATGCAGGATTCACGTTTAGATTCACACATGGTATCATACAAGCCATGCAGAATTCATTCATGGTTTCAAACACACAGAGAACAGAGCACACAGTGAACAAAGCACACAGAGAACAGAACGCACAGTGAACAGAGCACACAGAGAACAGAGCACACACGAGAACAGAGCACACAGTGAACGGAGCACACAGTGAACGGAGCACACAGTGAACAGAGCACACAGTGAACAGCGCACACAGTGAACAGAGCACACAGTGAACAGAAAGCACAGTGAACAGAGCGCACAGTGCACAGAGCACACAGTGAACAGAGCACACAGTGAACAGAGCACACAGTGAACAGAACGCACAGAGAACATAGCACACAGAGAACAGAACACACACGAGAACAGAGCACACAGTGAACAGAGCACACAGTGAACAGAGCACACTTTACATAATTGCAGTGCCATACAATTTCGACATTGTAGTGATCACTCTTCAATCATAAAGTGAAATGACATTGATATCTTACCTGCTCCACATGTGACTGCTGTACACAATGTATTTAATGATGAGTCGAATGGATCAAAGAACCAGTCAGCTCCATCACCCTGTGTTAGTTCCACACAGAAATAACCCAAGTTACCGCATTCTGACTGAGGCGGGAGAGTGACTATTACAGATGTGAATTCGTACGAGGCACCTCCATTTAAATTTTGTCCGACATGGTCTTCCATACTTGCAGCAGTGCTCTCCACTTTAGTTGTTGGGCTTCCTCCAGTTGATGTTTCCGCAAGAAATCCTTTTATTTTCCAGTTGTCATTACCAGTAACCGAACTAGACGATGGCGTAGACGTAATAGTTACATCAAAGGTAACATCCACATTTTCTCCTTGGGTTACCTTACCATTTGTTGGACCAATAACATCGAGTGCGGACAGATCAAAGCTCAGTATAGTTTGTGCTGAAGAAAAGGAGAATATTGAAGTCAAATTAATGCACAACATGTGTGGAAATCAAAACGTTTGTTAAAGCGCGGTGGTCGTCGTGCAGCGCGTGTTCGAATTTCATGTAAATAAACAATGTATTTTTCACGCGTTGTATACGTCGCTATGAGTCTCATATCGAACAGGACGCGGCACGACGACTGCCGCCCTTTAATGTCTTTTTAGCAAATATATGAAATGATGGTTTTAAAATCTACAAGCTAAATGCTACTCACATGAACAAGATGTAAGCTGCACACAGGCTGTTGACGTACTCAGGGAAGTCATTGACCACAGCGGGTTAGCGCCACTATTTTCAGACAAATCAACACAGGCATGGCTGTAGTATAAACTGGTTGCTTGTTGGCAAGTGATCACACTAGAAAAGTCCATAACAGCCTGCACATTAATGAGCTCTGCAGGAGTGCCGTCAGAGAAACCAATAGTGTTATCGGGGATGGATGCTGACACTGTGCTAGATGGTTTTGGGTTGGACCCCATAGAGTCAGTTGCTATATAAGCGTTGATAGTGTAAAGGTCGGTTCCAGTCACTGCATCACCTGAGGTTTCAGTAATCGTTACGTCAAAATTGAATGTATTACTTTCGCCCATCTGAACGGTCAAGTCCCCATTAGCATTATTGGCAACAGACACATCAATAGTAGGGGCAGCTGAAAAAAACAAAACGAAATATTGGTCAGTTGATTTCTACTTGACATGTATCTGCTGTACGGATGCCGAAATATTGGAGACAGCTATCAGTATTAAAGTGGGAGGGTCGTCACTTGCGCAAGCGCGGGAATTGAGTCCCAAGCGATGATAACAACACACGCTAAAAACGCAAAGGCTCATGGGTAGAAGTTTGTTTGTAAACAATGATACGCTATGGCCATCTGACGCATGCGCAGGTGACGACACCCCCGCTTTAAAACGAGCAGGTGAACTATACTTACTGGTACAAACTTCAATAACAGAACACCCCATTTCAGGATCAGTATGATCAAACCAAGACCACTCATTAGAAGCAGGAGTCACATCGGCACATATGTGAGAATAATCCTCGCAGACATTCACTGTCAGATCGAATGTTGCAACTACACCACTGATAACAGACTGGTCGTTTTCAGCTATGGTAACACTTGTACTGGGTACTGTGGCTGCCATCTTCGCAGATGAATTTGCACCGCTGCTGTCAGCTGCTAAATAGATGTTGATACTGAACAGAGCATTGGCAGCGTCTGATAGTTTACCAGTATTTGTACCAGCTGTTCCAATGCTGATGTCCAACGAAACTGTTTCACTCGCCCCCATAGCAATGGAGATTTGGGCGCTATTATGCGCAGATATTATAACGGGCTCGGATGCAGGTGTCAACACAGCTGAAAGAACAGAAGTAGAATTTAGTTCATTTATTATAAAATAAATTATCCCGGAAGGCGCAAGTCGTGCTCGCACATAGTATATTAAGAAGTACATAACAACGACTCACTAAATTGAAGTATAATTCGTATTTCAGTCTCACATGAAGGGGACAAGGGGGATACCTTGTACAGGTTACAGGGAATAAAAAGGCATGTTACGTTTTTTACAGGAAATACAATGAAAGTTCCATTTACAGTAAAAAATAGTTTTTTACACTTTACAGATAAAACACATTCCTAATTACATTTTCATAATATATTTGATAATTTGTGTTTAAGAATCAAAATTTGAAATTGCGTACGAATTGCGACATTTAATGTGGAAAATGCTTTATATACGCTTACAAAAAACAAGATCCTTGTACAGTTTACGGACGAATAAAATAGCTGGTTACATTTTTCACCTTACCCATGTCTACAAATTTACGTTTTTTATTCATTTTAATTAAATTATTACGAAAACAAAAACAATAAATTACAGCTTACGAAAATACCCCTTACCGACCCTCTCACATGGTACGTCAAAAACTACCATTTTATTCAGCTAATTGTATCACTAAACAGTTCTCCTGAAATATATCTATCACATCCCTACTTGGCAGGTAAATGTTTAATTTGAAAAAAAATTCTATGGAATTGTATTCATTTGATGCAATGTGTCTATAACATGAACATGAAATCACATCATGTCATTGCCTTGAAAGATGGTTGTCGAACATAATTGTTGCTGTTCAGCTGAATATAAACTCACTTGTGCATCCCGTAATGGAAGTGCAAGCTTGGTAAGAGACTATTGAATCCGCCCATGTCCATTCCGCACTCGCTGGTGTAATCGCAACACACAGACTCGTCCAAGCACTGCATTCTAGACCCAACAAATCGTCCGGATAGTCTGTGTTGTTGACGTTAATAAGTTCGGTCATTGAACTATTTTTTAAAGTTACAAGATATGTTGGCACAGCGGCAGTCACGTGTGAACGCGATCCTCCATCTTGGATACTGCTCTGAAATAAAAAGAACTCGATATCGAACAAATTATCGCCATTGTCAGTGATGAGGCCCGTCTCTTCGCCAGTATTGATGGTGATGTCTAGGTAGTAGACGGATGTTGTTCCCATGACGATGTCCAAATCCGTACCACTGGTGGCAGCAATCGCGATGGATGTTCCTTCCACTTGGGCTGCAAAGATGACAACAAATCTGATAAGTGACTTTTCAAGATGCAGGTACATGTGTTATGTTTAGTAGTACACAGGTTGTTTTAGTGACAGGCCGCAGACAGGTCACAGCTATCTGTGTCCGAGGGTGGAATGATAATTTATACCGAGCCCCACGCAACCTGATATATTTGTATACATAAATCAAATGTGGAAAATTGTATAACATGGATTTTAAATAAATATGTTAGTGGAGATAAGTTATTTACATAGGTAAGGCAACTTACTTGTACATGCTCCCAGTAATTCGCATGCTTCAACGGACACCACCTTATCATGCCATACCCATGATGCTTCATCTTCTGGACTGATGCTCACACAGATGTCGGTATAATCGTCGCAACTAAGACCGAATAGACCTATGTCAGCTCGTACACTGCTAATCACAGTGTCACTGCCTTCTGTCATGGTGACGGTTTCGCTGATAACATCCGCTCTGACTGGTTTTGACGTGGTGTTCAGCTCGTTGTGCCATAAATATAAATGCATGGAGAACAATACATTGGCGTCACCTTCGATCGCCGCACTGTGTTCTACCACAGGAATCGTAACTTCCAAATCGAATACCTTCCTTTTACCCATGTCAATAGTCAAGTCATCTGATGTTATGGATATGTCTCCATCCGTTATCGAACCTGATTGAAATAGAAACCTGTTAACACTTTCGTCAACATGTTCCTTTCGGCATGCAGTTACTGTTCACAACGTGTGTGTATTCTTGGTCTAATTAAAGCGCGGTGGTCGTCGCGCAGCGCGTGTCCGAATTTCATGTAAATAAACAATGTATTTTACACGCGTTGTATGCGTCGCTGTGAGTCCCATATCGAACAAGACGCGGCGCGATGACTGCCGCCCTTTAAATATAATATAAGCAGTTTTATTCTCTATATCAATAATCAACATAAATTTTGAAGTTATTTACTTTGTGCATGGCATTTACGAACAACTATCTAGCCTATATTTATCCCCGTATACTTACTAGTACAAGTTCCAATTGGTACGCATGACACGTGAGGATCGACTGTATCATTCCACGCCCACTGGACACCAACAGGACCCATGTCTATGCAGATATAGCTATAGTCAGCACAACTGCGACCTGTGAGATCGTAATCTGACAACGTGGCGGTAATACCCGTGGTGTTGGCCACGGTGTCGATGGTAACATTGTATTCTGATACTATGGCGTCTCCCTTGTTTAAATCGGTGGTCCCTATATCATCTGAGGCGACATAGATTTGTATGTCAAACAGCTCGTCCGCGGAATCCATGATTTCACCTGTTTCAGATCCAGTAAGGATAGTTATGTCCAATATGAACTCCTCGTCAGTAATTCCCATGATAATATCTAGATCACTGGCAGCATTTGGTTCCACTGTGATTGTATCATCGGTGACTTGTACTGTGGATGAAACGCAATATTATTATGTTTAACACTTGTTATAAATGATAGTAATTGCAATTTTTATTGATATTGTGTCCATGCATCAGGATATTGATGTACAATAATACAAGTACAATAAAGCTGCAACACAAATGTATGAATCGTAATATGAGGAAATGTAATACATTAAAAAAATCCAACGCCATTTTTTTGCCATCTTTATTATGAGGCAGCTGCTACTATACTGATTTGACACACACCAGCACTTTTAAAGCGAGAGGGTTGTCACCTGCGCACGCGCGGAAATTGAGTCCCAAGCGACGTTAACTTGACAAAACACGCTAAAAATGCAAAGGCTCATGGGTAGACGCTTGTTTGTAAACAATTAAACGCCTGGCGCATGCGCAGGTGACGACTCACCCGCTTTAAAGATAGAGCGGATGTTGAAAAATCATTTACACGTGGCTCTCATGGTGTTAGTACTTATACTCACTTGTACAGTCGTCGAATTCGTAACATGCCACTTTAACCATTTCATCGCTCCATTGCCATGACTCGTACGGAGCCGTGCTTTTAGGTTCAACATCTACACATACATGAGTAAAGACGGCACACGAAAACCCATCTGTGTTTACGTCGGCCTGTATGCTAGCCAAAGTAGTAGCGCCTACACCTGTAGATAGTACCACCTCGCTAGAAGAAATTCCTGTGGCGTCCATCTTAGGGGATGCATTGCTTCCGACATCGTCTCCAGATAAATACACTTTGATATTGAACATATTGTTGCCATTATTATCGACCAAAGCGCTGTCATCGATTACATCTATGGCTATATCCAAGTCGAACGCTATGACTTCGCCCAATTCAACTTCTAAACTTCCACCTCCATTGTTAGCTAACGTAACATCCGCTGTGATATTACCTGTAATTAACCGAAAAAAAAACACACTTAAAAATAATAACATGTTGAGGAGAAACAGATCTTTAAGCGACAACATTAATGAACATCACTAAAGACTAGATCAGCAATAAACGAATTTATTGTTTATTGATTGCATAACATTTGAAACAACATACCAATACAGGTTGATATTGCAACACACGACACAATGGCATCAGTACTGGCGTTAGCCCATGTCCAAACGTCCTCGATTTTAGACGTGATATTTGCACAAATATAAGAATAGTCATCGCAATTCAAGTCTGTGGTGTCCATATCTTCAGCAACCACATTGATGACGACTGGATTTCCCTCACTTCCAACATCTGGTTCTATCGTTACATCCTGTGAGCTCACTACACCGTCGACTTTATCAGTTGGATCAGAACCATCGTTAGCGCTGGCCAAGTAGACGACGACGGTGAACATATCAAATACATCGTCTGTTATTTCAGCAGAATGGTGACCTGTTGTTAGTGTGATATCAAGATTGAAAGACTCGGTGGTGATTCCCATAACAATGTCCAGGTCACCACTTGGATTGCTGGTGACAATCGGTACAGGATCTGCCTCAATTTCACCTGTATAGAAGAAATTATATTTCATTGAAAAACAAATTGTACATTTTTTATTTCTTTGAAATCCCGGTACGAATTTATTCTGGACAGATTTCATGTACAATTTTATAAATCACTTCATTGATTACTTTAGCTACCAAACTCTCGTTTCTTTGATGAGTTTGCTCGTATATCTACATAACGGATCGCAATTGTTAACTTGTTTTCGCTTTATAATGTTACAATAAAACTAGAGTCGTGAAGTTGCAGTGAAAGGTATAAAACTGGTAATGTCATCGTGAGTTCTAATTAAAGCGAGAGGGTCGTCACCTGTGCACACGCGGGAATTGAGTCCCAAGCAACGACAACAACACACGCTAAAACGCAAAGGCTCATGGGTAGACGCTTGTTTGTAAAGAATGACACGCTATGGCCATCTGACGCATGCGCAGGTGACTACTCTCCCGCTTTAATATTATTGAGTTAGTTCAATATCATTTAACCAGCAAATCATTTATTTCGAATAAGTTGGTAGTCGCAGTTGCTATGCCATTTGAAGGTTTGCACGCGCATTCATTATTAAATATTTGAATTTGAAAGAAAGCTGATGATCGGTATTTACAAATTGTTATAAATATGTTATTAATCTAAGGCACAGCTTTCTGCCATTCATTGTTAAAAAGTTTTTTTTTTATTTTCCACGTTGGTGGCGTAATATAGTGATGTTTTATGTAAAAAGAAGAAACATAATCGCATTACCGATTCGTTTTTGAAAGAAACTCTGAACCAGGAACAGATCTTTTTGCCTTAATAGATAAGACCATACTTACTAGTGCATGTGAGTGCAGAACAGGCTATCTTCGGATCCGTTCCTGACCCCCACTGCCAGGGGGCACCGACGTCAGGGTTTATTGACACGCACACGTGTGTATGCACTTCACAGTTCAGTCCACTCAGGTCGGGTAATGTTGCAGTAAAGTCTATTATAAACTCAGTCGACGGCGTAACTGCGGTAGTGGGTGTATCAAGAGTTGCGTTCACGGTATGTGTGGCGTTATCTCCATTTACGGACGTAGCGATAAACACTTCAACAGCAAACGCAGCGAGCGGCAGATCGGCGGTTTCAGTGTTGTCTGTCGGAGTTGTAGAAATCTCAAGATCGAAAGTTTTTGATGTTCCATATATTATGTCAATATCAGCGCCACTGGGCTCAGTCAAAGTCGGCACCCCACTATCATCTTCTGTAATGATGCCTAAGCAAAACATTGAGAAAATTGAGACATTGTGAACACAGTTGAAAATAAATAAAAATTCCAATATTTTGTTTTTAGTACTTATTTAAATGTACATAAGATTTTCCATACGTTAGTTTCACTCGACTGTCATGTCAATACTAGTATTACAAAATCACGATACCACCATTTGTACCCATTGTCTCTCAAAACATTGTCTCACTCAGAATTCAAATTAGGCCAAATTAGAAATTGAAACGCTCATAGCACAGAATTCATTTACATGTATCGATATACTATCATATAGAAATAATATAAATCATATACACTACTTTCATAAAACTGCTCTATATTTATTCGATAGCACGTTTGTTAACATGTTGATACTGTACGCTGGTAAATTTGATAACATGGAGTTTATTTGAGAATGTGATGGTACACGTATTATACACTATAAAATCTACCTTCCCATCTATATAACGTATAACAGTCTGAGTGGGGGGGGGGGGTCCGAAAGGAGTATACCATAATATATATAGGTGTATGAATGTTTCGGGATATATTGATTAGTTTTCATCATATTCGCATAATAATGTGTGACAAGACGACGCTATACTTGAACAGTTGCTTTTATACTAATTCGTGACTTGGAGTAATAATGTATTACGCTGTTACATCAGTCATGCACATATTACGTTGCCACAACAGTCACGCACATATTACGTTGCCACAACAGTCATGCACATATTATGTTGTCAGAAGTCATGTACATATTATGTTGCTACATCAGTGATGCACATATTATGTTGTTACATCAGTCATGCACATATTATGTTGCTACACCAGTCATGCACATATTATGTTGTTACATCAGTCATGCACATATTATGTTGTTACAGGTCATGCACATATTATGTTGTCACAAGTCATGCACATATTATGTTGTCACAACAGTCATGCGCATATTACGTTGTCGCAAGTCATGCACATATATTGTCACAACAGTCATATGCATATTATATTGTTACATCAGTCATGCACATATTATGTTGTTACATCAGTCATGCACATATTATGTTGTTACAACAGTCATGCACATATTATGTTGCTACATCAGTCATGCACACATTATTTTGTTACATCAGTCATGCACACATTATGTTGTCACAAGTCATGCACATACTATGTTTTACATCAGTCATGAACACATTATGTTGTCACAAGTCATGCACATATTATGTTGTCACAACAGTAATGCACATATTATGTTGTCACAACAGTCATGCACATATATTGTTACATCAGTCATGCACATATCATGTTGTCACAACTGTCATGAACATATTATTTTGTCATAAGTCATGCACATACTATGTTTTACATCAGTCGTGCACATTCTATGTTGTTATCTCAGTCATGCACATATTATTTTGTCACAGCGATCATGCACACATTATGTTGTTACATCAGTCATGCGCATATTATGTTGTCATAACAGTCAAGCACATATTATGTTGTTGCATCAGTCATACATATATTATGTTGTCATAACAGTCAAGCACATATTATGTTGTTGCATCAGTCATTCACATATTACATTGTTATATCAGTCATGCACATATAATATTGTTACCTCAGTCATTCACATACTAGGTCGTTACATCAGTCATGCACATATTATGTTGTTGCATCAGTCATACAGATATTATGTTTTCACACTTGCCATACACGTATTATGTTTTCAACCTTGCCATGCACATATTATGTTTTCACACTTGCCATACACGTATTATGTTTTCACACTTGCCATACACATATTATGTTTTCACACTTGCCATACACATATTATGTTTTCACACTTGCCATACACGTATTATGTTTTCACACTTGCCATACACGTATTATGTTTTCACACTTGCCATACACGTATTATGTTTTCACACTTGCCATACACGTATTATGTTTTCACACTTGCCATACACGTATTATGTTTTCACACTTGCCATACACGTATTATGTTTTCACACTTGCCATACACGTATTATGTTTTCACACTTGCCATACACGTATTATGTTTTCACACTTGCCATACACGTATTATGTTTTCACACTTGCCATACACGTATTATGTTTTCACACTTACCATACACGTATTATGTTTTCAACCTTGCCATACACGTATTATGTTTTCACACTTGCCATACACGTATTATGTTTTCACACTTGCCATACACGTATTATGTTTTCACACTTACCATACACGTATTATGTTTTCACACTTGCCATACACGTATTATGTTTTCACACTTGCCATACACGTATTATGTTTTCACACTTGCCATACACATATTATGTTTTCACACTTGCCATACACATATTATGTTTTCACACTTGCCATACACGTATTATGTTTTCACACTTGCCATACACGTATACTGCTGAAACGAATTCAAATGCATATTCATGACAGCCAACACAAACATGATTGCTATGAAGATTTGCATGAAAAGTACTTACTTTTGCACGAGTCTAGCTCTATACAGTAGGTATCAGGGACGACGGTGTCTGTCACTCTTTCTCCGACACTGTCAACGTATATACAGATCAATTCATAGGGATTTCCGGGTGTGGCAGTGGTGTCATAACATCCTGGGGTACCCGTGAAATCAAGAATAACGTCAACACTAGTGAACGTGTTGACTATTTCAGTTTCGCCGTGACCTTTCGGTGAGGCTTGGATCACCTGAACATTTTGTTCGTCGGATAGTGTTATGTTATAATCAGGTGTCTTTTTTGTATCATCTATCAAACTGTTGCTTCCTCCCGATGCCAAGAAAGCCACCATCGCCAGATCTGCTCCCGTCTGCAGCCCATCCCCTTGCGCAACAATGTCAATGTCAAACGTGAGTGTGTTCGGTTCACCGAAGACAATATCGATAGTTTCTTCTGTGGCAAAATCGAGTTGTAGTCTTATTTTCGTCACTGTGAAAAGAAACGTTGACTATTTGACTACATTTTTAAACAGGTTAAGATCACTTAAATGTACGTACATTCACGTAAAGATTAAGATCATGTAAAGAAACAATGCTTGTTATACACGATGTGTACGTAGCATGGATGCCATGCTGGACATGGCGCGCCTCGACGAGTCCCGCCCTTATCTAGATCTACAGAGTGCGAGTACAGACAGATGGGTTTGTTCTGCTTTTTGTAGTGGACACTGTTGTACTACATCATTGCGAAACGAGATGACGAAAGATCGATGTGACTTGTATTTCCTCAGCGCCGACTCTTCGGTAAATGTCGCAGTCCGGGCACAGTTTACATAAACAAATAGTAACCCTGTTCTCAGTCGTGTTTTCTTAGTTAAACAGTCAAATTATTGTTGTTTCTCCTGGCTCGCCCGCTAAATAGTGGGACACCATCACTAGCTTTCAAACCATGTTTGTTTGCTTACTGCGCCCCTAAGTTTCATCCGGCTTCATCAAATCACCGTCCGGAGTGTTTGAAAAACAAAACTATTACACAGACTGGACTGTTGCCAATAATATCTACCTTGATTGTTCAAAACACTTATGAGATGGAGTAACGATACGACTACGTACATGTACCCCGAGTACGCACCTCTACGTACTTGTGCACAGACAGTCGAAATGATTTTGAAAAACAATAATATTTGACGGATTATTTAATAAACTAGTTTATTTCTTAGGTTGTCATATGAGATTTTATAAAAACGAATTTCCAGAAAGTAATGTTAAATTACGCAGATTTCGGGGCCAGTGACTGTTTTCTGCTTTTTAGTGGCAACAAATCTACTGGTATAGCCACAAAATAATAACAATATTGAACCCCAACCCTCGCAAACCCCGATAATGGATTGTGGGGGGTCGTTCATTATTGTTTAAATATAATTTGCATATACTTAATAATATAACCCAATAATAATAATAATAGTAATAATAATAGTAATAATAGTAATAATAATAGTAATAATACTAATAATAATATTAATAATAGTAATAATAATAATAATAATAATAATAATAATAATAATAATAATAATAATAATAATAATAATAATAATAATAATAATAATAATAATAATTACTTACGACATTCGACCTGACTCGTCAAAAAGGTGACAAACATAAAGACCTCCCATAGCAACTGTTGACAGGTCTTCATTTCAAAAGCTATAGGAATAAGGAAAAAAAACATTAGAGGAATTGAACCAATCGAAAACCTAATCTAAGTCTAAAACTAATACTAACGGTACAGAAAAATTATTTTTCGACTTACAGAGATTTTCCGTTTCTACAGGACTTTCTTTACCTGTCATTTCATTGGACACAAAGTTCGGTTTAGACAGTTTTTGTTATAGTAAAGTTGATGAACAGACATGTTACAGTTAGATGAACGAACTACACTGTTTTTATTTTGATTTATGACTTTCCAATTTAAATTCATACATATTTGTTCTGGCCAGTTTTTTTGTTTATCAAATTTCCCAAATTTTGAACTCAAGTTTTGTTCGTTGTGAAAGTATGGTCTGAAATGACGCCAGCACGTGTTATGCTCTATACAGCGATGACATACACAAGATAGATTGATGTTATTCACACCGCCGCCAATGTCCAAATTCTAATGGTGAAAAAACTAGAACAAATACTACACTTGGTGGCGCTGTTTGAAATGTCTCCACAAGCCAAATTAGACAAAAATTTAATTCTTTACTAACTAAAGTTTAAATATATTCCTAACTAGTGCGTCTTTAAACGCTTTATTTTAAATCGTAAACCTTCAGTCTGGGAATGAACACATCGTGATTTGAATCAGTAATTGAATATGACCAATTTTATTTCATGCAATATTGCCATAGAAACGGGAATGAGTATCATTAATTATAATAGTTTTTCATAGTACGAAAATATGTCATTCTGAATTTAACAATGGATTACCATGGTTACGGGGCGAGTACAATTGTAGAATAATTCCATATTGCGCCTTTTATAGTGGAATACATCACACAATTCACCACGTTTGTCGTACGCCCACGGAGGAGGAATCGCACGTCGAGAAGACAAATTAGAGTGATTTAAGCACAGTAAGTTACAGTGTTATCATTCGATGATGCGACGAAACTAAATCAAATGCAAATTCAATAATCGAGCACCTATACATACTTTTGTTAAATTGATAAATATTTATATGTGATTAAATACTAGTAATAGTTTCAAATCAGTATTTGGAATTATGCATATATAGAGAGAGTAGCTCAGATATTAGAGAACGTTATCCATGCACGTTCATGCATCTCTGTGAAACATGCCAGCTTTAAAAGTAGAATGTCTACTCCATTCCGTAAACCATCATGTCTGGCATGTATATTTCAGTCTGAGAACAATAGGTTTCAAAATAACTAAACGAAAATGGGTTGGAAGGTTTGGATGTGTATTAGTGATAGAGATACAGAATCGTGCAGATTTTAACGACATGTGAATATTATTAAAATACACTTTCCATGGAAACGATTTTAGTGACCTATTTTTCAATGTGTTTTTTTGCATAATTAGTTGACACTAAGTATAAGTGACAGTGAAAAGGTTAATGTCAAAGCATTTCCATATAATAATAAACATTTCCGAAGGTTTTTGATAAAACTGGAATTTGACAGACGTATATGCAATATATATTAAACGAATAGCGTACGTAGCACGAAACTGTGGGCCTCCTAACGCCGAGCCACGTCACGTCTCCATGACAACTATCCGCCCATACATTGATTCAGTCGACTACGCTTGAATTGGAAACGAAAATTAAAATCGATACATGCTTTATTTGATTAAAAGGCTGTATTTATGATTTAGTTATAGTTTTATTTTCACAGAATTCAAAATATGAGAAGTTTATATCGTGTTAATCACGCGTTTTCACATGGTTCTATAAAATATGAGAATTACCATTACGTCATAGACGTTTAAATCACCTCGGAGTGTGGGTCTCATGAAAAATACACATTACGTCCATTTCTGTTCACAGCGACGCCTACATAGTCAATATCAGTATATTATCAAAAAAGGCATAAAACAAGAACACACGCCACTCCCATTAAAATGAGATAATCACGATATTATGGCCACATGCCGAAAAGTAATATTGGCATAAATGCAACAACAGACGGGTATGATGCAATAAATCGATATATAACATGTCTGATGCAGTAAATAATAATGGCGATGGACAAATATCGTTCGAAATAATGCGTCGCATCGGTAGAGGTCTATACCGCGTTCATTTCAATCTCCAGCCATGTCATGTCGCACTTAAAATAACGTGAATCCGTGAAGGTTGTGTTTATATACATATCAATTCAAAGCCTGTAACGGACTAGGTTGGATCAAGTCGTACATTTACATGTCGTAAATTCCGCAGTAATGTTCCCGTCGTGTTCTAGGGTTGCATCGTAGCAATATAGTTTGAGACGAATTTGGCATAAAAAGAAAGTATCGCGTTGTGCAAGAATCAGAGCACCATAACAGTATCCGTAGAAACAATTTATTGCCTAATTTATGAAAAAAAAATAATTCGGTTAATCGTTGTGAAAATACAGTATATGTGCCGAGCAACGGTTCGACCTTTGTTAAAGCAGTTGACCCCATGAGCACACATGTTGTTCAGCCATTAAAAAAAATCGCCAATAATTACAATTGATATGGAAACCTATAGTAGCAACACATGCCAAAAAAAAAACAAAAAAACAATAGAACAAAACAATGTGAACATCAGTGGTGATCTATCAGTAGCAACGAAATATAATCATACAACGATATATATAATCTAGATTTTTCGTATATAAAATTTGTGACAATATTTTAAATTTTACTAAAGGTGACATTGTATCGCGGAGGGTTCTCGATTTGAAATCACAAATAAAAACACATAGATGGATCAGTTTGACGACGCAATGATTGAGAGCTACAATGACAAATTAACAACCATAATCTAATGAAGTATGTTACTGTATTAAAGTGTTCACAAATCCATCTACCAATTTCATGACATGGCAATTTATTTTAAATCACACGTCATGAAAACAATGAGGAGAGAAGGCGTTACAGGAGACACAACACAATGAGACGCATTAGATCAAATGGAACGGTGGCTCAATATATTGATCGTACCGGAAAGCACAAGAATCGATAACTGATCATCATCGTCATGGCTTTCCTATCCTCAAGATGGAGAAAAGATGGTGATGATGAATCCATTCACCGTTTCCAGTTAATCGTAGCTGAGCAAACAGCTAAACATATGGCATGGATTGTGCTGTTTGTAATGATTCACACCTCGCCATTTTATCTTTCCTTTTCTAATTTTCACATTGAGCAGACACACGAGTTGGATAGTTTACACTTGGTTTTCACTTACTTAATTTGTAAATAAATTGTATGTGTTTACTCACCCTTCTCCACTGATTACGCGTTTTTTCCGACCGCTGTTTAAGTATGTCCTTTCAAATCCACTAACGGTTGTCGGTAATTTTCGTCTGGGTGCTCACTAACGAGGTGGGTTCTTTTTTCCTCTTTCTAGCCTAGTCTCGCGATTTGAAATCCAGAATAAAAAGTAAAACACAAAACCAATCAATACACCAATGTTTATCGCGGTTACCAAGATACCCGTCTAAACCTCACTGCTGTCCATCATCTATTTGTTGTTGCTAGGAGATGAAACTGTAAACACGTTCATCCTCATTGCTGAGTGGCCACTGGGGAAGGATTGTAATATGCGATGCTAATGGAATGTGAATTAGCATAATCGAAATCGAAAAAGGAATTTATTTTATTTGGTGTCATATCCTATTCCTACTATTTTCTAAATGAAAATACCCACAAATATATTAGTATGTCATACACTTTGAGGGGAGCTTTGACAATCTACATTAACATCAGTGTATGCACACAGTGTGCAAGTCACAACGATTTTTGCATGTGACCTGTAACAACAATTCCTAATCTGAATAATAAGTAATCCGACGAGCAACATGCCGTGTGGAGGTTTTCATGAGCGATGAATTTGGATTAAACATAATATAAGTGATACATGTAATGCAATGAATATCGCAGAGACATTTTGAATAATTTCACGAACCAGTTAATTTAATACTGACCAAATAAAAATTGTTAATTGCCAAATTAATAAAAAATCGATAATTATCCCCAACTAGTCTTGATCACGTGGATGTTGACGTTGACGTGGTGAACACTGTTGTTGAGCACCTTTTTTGTTATTGACACATTTGAACCGCTGATACATACTCATGACCATCAGCGTCGTATTCGTCAAAACCTTTCCGATCAGGCAAAAGTGGAAAACCTACTAAATAAATGTACCGTAAGTCAGAACGGCTGCTTTTGCAACTGTTTATACTTGTCCAGGTTCCATTTTTCTATCACAGTTGTTTAAATATGGGTGAAAAGTATAATCATATTTATATTCCAAATATCACATTTCAAGTTAATAAATCCAAATTACATGTATCGTATTTGTAAATATATGCGCAATTAGATGACATCGAGGGAACAACCTTGAGGCCTAAATACATAAGTAAAGTGGGTACCTCAGTATAATATATAATCCCGGGTATTTAGTAAGGCAAGTACCATAAAAACAGTCGAATTGTAACGATTTGGATGTATATATGTGCGTAATTTAACAGATGATTATAGCATACCGCCACTTCGTTTTGAATAACTCGCAATTACATCGTCGCCTGAATCTCAATACGTTTTGGTGTATGCTAATTTGCTTACCGAAATTTGGTAGTCTAAACTCGTTTAGACCACATCGCTGACATCCATTATCTCTGGTCTTTGGTCACGTGTTGTTTGGTGTGAGTCATCTGGTAATTACTCTACGCTTAATTTGCTGCACCATGTGGTTTGAATATGTTATTGCCATGGAGATTGTAACAGGCGCGTACAATGAATTATAAAGACAGAACAAAATATAAAACGTAATAATATGTTCAAAAAATAGGTAAAAAAAGTAATTGGAGTAAAAAATATGAAGATTCAGTAAAACACAATCCTATATAATAAGAACTATTAATAGATATCGAAATATATCGTATTAATGCCATGTTTTTTTTTATTTCGCTCGAATACCATTGGAATTCGAAATCGTGTTAGCGATGTCGCTAACAAACCCACGGTTTCAAGGGATTATGCCCGACGGCTTACCTAGAAATACCTGATTAGGGGCCATTCCAAGGTGACGAGCGAGACAGCTTTCTAGAAAACAAAGAGTGGAATTAGTATGCTCATCATGTCGGAGTAAGAC